AGACTTCTGTTGATAAAATGATTGATTTTTACCTTAGAATAAAAGGCTCCAAACACAGATGAGAGTATCCATCACTATGGCCTCTCACCTGTCTCCATAATCCATCACACAGAGTACTTTAAGCCAGTGCCACCTCCCAGTGCCATCTCAGTATGATAAGTAAGCTCAACAGTTGGTGGAATCATGTTTGCTTTGGAACCTTTATGCCCATGTTTGCTTTCAGGTTCAATGCTTGTTAAATTAAGAGTTAAATCAAGAAGGGAATCTGGGTGGGAGAGATCATCAGCCAGGACACAGAGATGTTTGACAAGATATGCACCAACTCACTGCACCAGGAAGCCACTGTTTCCTGTTCAGGGGCAGCAGCAGCTTGGAGCCCAGTGGTTCCTCCCTCACCCTGTCAGGCTCCCCTCCCAGTGCAGAGCCCTGAAGTCAAAGAAGAATTTCTTCTAAAGGAAGAAGGCAAACATGGTGCTGCCCAGGCTGCTGAAGCTGCTCATAGCATCAATGTGGCTGGGTAAAAATGATGCCTGTGTGTAGGGGCCTCCTCTGTGACCTAGGGACTGGGGGACAGGGGAGCCTTAAAGGGACTTTGGGAGGGAGGGTTAGCATTGTGTAAATTTGCACTTTTTTTTTTGTCCCACACCACTTGTCCCTCAACTTTCTGATTCTGTCCTTTTTTCTTCAGGATCCAGTTTTGCCCAGAAGGTGACTCAGGCCCAGCCAGCCATGTGGGTGCAGGAGAAGGAGGCTGTGACCCTGCACTGCTCCTATGACACTAGTAAAACAAATTATGGTCTCCTCTGGTACAAGCAACCCAGTGGTGGAGAGATGGTCTTCCTCATCCTTCAGAACTCTTATGGTCAAGAAAATGGCACAGAAGGTCGCTACTCAGTGAATTTGCAGAAGGCAAGCAAATCCATCCAGCTTGTCATCTCAGCCTCACAGCTGGGGGACTCAGCAGTGTATTTCTGTGCACTGAGAGAGGGCACAGTGGGAGGGCTGTTGGAGGGAGGTGCACAAAAAACCCAGGGTCTGCCTGAGACACCCACCTGCTGTAAGGAATGGCCAACTCAAACAGGAAGTGGCCAGGTCTGTGGCAGCTCATGTCTGGGGTTGGAGAGAAAACCTCCAATCAAATCAAAGGTTGAATAACCTGCTGACCAAACTCTGGTACCTAAGGAAACCCTCTCTAAGCTCATAGACCACATCAGAGTTATCAAAGCCAGCCATATTGCCAAATCTTTGGATTGAAATTAGACACATAATTTTTGACAGAAGATTGGAAAGGGAGAGCAGCTACAACAATGTTTGTTTGAAGAAATGGCTAAGGAAGTTCAGAATCATGTGGCGGAAAAAATATTAGTAAAAATCTGTATGAATTGTAACATATTCAGATCAATATGTCCAATAATATTTATTGAATGAATAATATCTTGCTTTTTTAAATAAAGAAGTTCTTGGAATCTCTCTTTATATTTCCTTTTTAAAATTATATGCCTTTTAAATACTATTTAATGTGTTACTTTGGTTTAAGTTTATTTGTTGCGAGTAAATAATGGTACACACATTTATTTAATATCATTTTTTTTCCTTCCTTCCTTCCTTCCTTCCTTCTTTCCTTTCTTTCTTTCTTTTTTTTTTTTTTGTGTGTGTGGTATTGAGGATAGATCCCAGGGCCTCACACATGTCAGACAAAGGCTCTGTCACTGAGCCCCAACCCCAGCCCCTCATATTTTCTTTCTAGAAGCTCCTACTATGTAACATACTTAGTCCTCGGAGTTCGTTCTGTCTTAACACCTCTAACATCAAGAGCTTAACTTCTATTCTGAAGGTTTCCCTGCCACTGTCATATCCATAGGCGATGGAAAATTACTGGCTTTTTATGAGGAAATGTGGAGGATCTCACCCACAGAGACATAGGCTTAATTGTTTGTACATAAATAGGCACCATTTTTCCCTAATCACTATCTTTTTAATATATTAATTTTTTCCTTTCTCTATAATGTTTCCACATTACTTATTTAGTTCCCTTTATCTATTTGTTTCATTCTGTGGTGATCTCAGAAATTAGTTGCATAGTAAATTGCATTACCTGTTAGAAGAAATAATTCCTCAGCAGTACCCTTTTGAGAAGTTTTTGATAATACTTGCACAATTATTTTTCCAATACAAATGTTAAAAGTCGTGCTCCATTTTCCACACATTCAACAACCTCCTTTAAAACAAAGGAAAACAAACAAACAAAATGTTTTAAAATCAGAAAGCTATAATTACATTAATAGAATGTCTTGTGAAATATTGAATTATTATTTCTTAATTTGAAAAAAGTTATTTTCTCAATTTGTAAGGGACATTTTATGTTATTCAATTATATTTGAAGGTTCTCATCTTTATCATAAATTAGATTTATTTAAATGTATTCCTATATATTCTTCCCTGTGTGTACACATTTTCAATTGAATTTTATTTTATGTATTCATTTTTGTTGGTATTCTAAATATAAAGAAAGACTATTTTGAAAAAATCACATTGGTTATATAGCTAAGAATTTTTACCTTTAACAGTTGCAGTGTATTTATACTACCTAGACATTTAAATTTATTTTATGGAGCTAGCCTAACCTTAATCCAACATCTTATAAAGAGAGAACAATAAAAACATTCACTCTTGAATACAGACACAGATTTTTAAGTTAAGAAATTATAAATAAGAATAACAGAATAGTGAAGCTTGATTTTTGTAAAAGATATTTACTTATATATTTATTTATTCAAAATAGTGACCAGTGAGTACCTCTGTGTAACCAGCTTTGAGCAGAAACTTATCCCATCTGTGGCCCTGTTACCACATCTGAGATGAAAGAACCTAACTTCTATACTACTGGTAAACCTGACCTGCACCAATCTTGTATCAATCTTACCCATAAAATGGTCAGTCATTGCTGACTCTTGGAGAGACAGTGTGAAGGGACAAGAGAATGAGTTCTCCCTTTTCTCTGCTCTTGTCCTTCCCTTCATCTTTCCTCCAAAAACATTTAATCCATCATGTGGAACATTTTGCACTCCTCCAGTCCTGCTGTGCTCAATCAATGTTCAATAGTCCCAAATCTTCATTTTCTCTGATTTCCTCCTTCTACCTCTAACCCCATTTTCTCATGCTGTAAAATTAGATGGTAGTGATTGTTCAATATGTGAATTTGCCTTGTAATTTACTCCCATGTTTGCATTTGGAAAGCAGAGTTGTGGGTAGAAAACTTAAAAAGAAGTATCTTTTATAATTTTAAAAAATTATCTTGGGGATGGGGATGTGGTTCAAGCAGTAGCACACTCGCCTGGCATGCGTGTGGCGCTAGGTTCGATCCTCGGCACCACATACAAATAAAATAAAGATGTTATGTTCGCAGAAAACTAAAACAATAAATATTAAAAATTCTCTCTCTCTCTCTCTCTCTCTCTCTCTCTCTCTCTCTCTCTCTCT